CTGCTCCTCTAGGAGGGCAACGGTGAGCTCAGTGGGACAGCGAGCAAGGAAGTGGTCTCGAACTGAGCTGAGGGTGTCAGGGAGACGGGTGACTATGAAGTGGAGTGTCCAGTACAGGGGAGGGGGGTTCTTAGCACAGAACTCGGTGGGAAGGGCGGCACGAAGGCGGGCATCACTAGTGCGAAGGTGGGTGATAAGATCGGCGACTGTAGCAAAGGTGGACAGGTCAGGGAACAGGTACGGCAGCATGAGGCGGCTAAGCTCGGCTGTGGCAGGCGAGGAGTAGCGAGCAACGACAGCATCGTACAGGGCCTTAGCGGATTTGCAGTCGCCAAAATGCTCGAGCTCAGCTAACGGCAGGTGACTGCGAATGGCTAGGCGAGCAGCTGCGTCACGAGTCTGCCAGTGGGAACGAACACTAAGCTCAGCTGTGGCAGGAGGGGCAGGTGCAGCACCAGACGCGTAATCATAGAGCGACACATGCTCCTTGCTATCGCTCAGAAGGAACAGCTGCAGGTCATCCAGCCAAGTGGCGAACTTCACAGGGCGGCCCTCAGCATCGAACGACAGCACTCGGATGGAAGCCATAGCGACAGAGCAAAGGAAGCTGCCACAGCGCTGCAGGTAGGTAGCTCGGCGGGAAGCGCGGAGGGCGGGCGACACGGCGAGCGGGCAGTGCAGGGGTCGGGCTACGAAGCGGGCAGCGCGGTGGGCAGGCGGCGCTGCAGGCGGGAAGTGCGGCGGGCGGGCTGCGAAGCGGGCAGCGGGGCGGGCGGGCGACGCGGCGAGCGGGCAGCGCGGCGAGCGGGCGACGCTGCGAAGCGGGCAGCGGGCGGGCGGGCGACGCTGCGAGCGGGCAGCGAGCGAGCGGGCGGGCCGCGAAGCAGGCAGCGGGCGGGCGGGCGACGCTGCAAGCGGGCAGCGAGGCGGGCGGGCGACGCTGCGAGCGGGCAGCGAGCGAGCGGGCGGGCAACGCTGAGTGGGCAGCGAGCGGGCGGGCGACGCTGCGCGCGGGCAGCGGGCGGGCGGGCGACGCTGCGAAGCGGGCAGCGGGCGGGCGGGCGACGCTGCGAAGCGGGCAGCGGGCGGGCGGGCGACGCTGCGAAGCGGGCAGCGGGCGAGCGGGCGACACTGCGAGCGGGCAGCGAGGCGGGCGGGTCGCGAAGCGGGCAGCGGGCAAGCGGGCGACGCTGCGAAGCGGGCAGCGGGCGGGCGGGCGACGCTGCAAGCGGGCGACGCGGCGGGCGGGCTGCGAAACGGGCAGCGCGGTAGGCGGGCGACGCTGCGAGCGGGCGGCTCGGCGGGCGGGCGACGCTGCGAGGGGCGCGCGAGGGCGCTAACGAGAGGCGCACGAGGGCGCGAAGGAGGGCGCGCGAGGGCGCTAGCGAGGGCGCGCGAGGGCGCTAACGAGAGGCGCGCGAGGGCGCTAACGAGGGCGCGCGAGGGCGCTAACGAGGGCGCACGAGGGCGCTATGAGGCTAGGGCACGGGGTAGCGTGGTAACCGCATGCGAGCGGTGGTGGGCCCTAAAAAAAAACGATCGGTAGGTCCTAGGGACCTCCTGCTCTGAATACCATGTCAACTGAACTAGGCAAGAATGAATGAACTAGCAGAAGTTTGGGTACAAATATGAAACCCTAGTTGGGGTTGTACCCCATATTGGCTACCCCACTACAGCCTACCAACATATAACACATTACAATTTAACAGCTACTAATCACTTCCGAGCAGAAATGATCAAGCAAAATGTTAGTTGTTCACCCAAGCCCACTTTGAACCTCGAGCTGGGCCCAAATCGCTTGGACGTGTTGAAACAATCGCCTTGCGATTGTCGTGCACAGAATTGCGACGCACCAGGCAGAACTGTAATTCTATCATTTTGGCGGGAACCAATCACATGTGCTTAATCTGGCGTCAAGAACAGTACCGACTTGTCAGTTTGGTGTCAAAAATGTTTCTCTCGGCAAATTTGTCGTTAGCAATCTTTCAAACTGGGCCTCCCTTCACTATTTTGCCTGCTCGCTTTAATGCTTGCACATTCACGGGAGAAATCGGCAAGAGTTTCCACTAGCAAAGTTGGAATTACAGAATGATAGAACAAGCAATGACAGAATGACTACATCAGGCACCTAGCAACTCTGCAGCTAGCCTGGTCGACCGCCAGCACTGCATGGTCGACCGCCTGGTCGCACCTCTGCGTTGCGTAGAGGAGCTGCGCCAGCACTGCAGAAGAGCGATCTGCCAACACTGCAGGTCGACGGCGTGCCAACGCTGCACTAGAACAGCTGTCCAGTGTTGCCCCCGTAGAAGACAGCAATGCGCATGCTCACAGGTGCCCGACTTTCATTGTTGTGCATCCGTCGGTTGTTGTCTTCGCCTGACGAGCCACATCGACTTCGGGATACCAGCTCGAAGTCGCCTTCGTCATCGCGACCTCGACGACGTTCGCGTGCCTTCTCAGAACTCGCCGAGCAGGTTACCTGGTCGACCTGGACACCACCAGCCACTCTGGTCGACCACCTAGAGCTCTGATCGATCATCTGGTCCCTCTGGTCGACCACCAGGGCTCCGGTCGACCACAGGAGCTCTGGTCGACCACCAGGTGTCTCCGGTCGACCACCAGGGGCTCTGGTCGACCACAGGCCCCCCGGTCGACCACCAGGTCCCCTGGTCGACCACCAGGCCCCCCAGTCGACCACCAGGTGCCTCTGGTCGACCACCAAGGGCTTCTGGTCGACCATAGCTCCCGTCAAGCTGCCCCATGGTCGACGGACCCCTTCCGTCGACCAAAGCTCTCTGCTGATGTCGCCGAGCTGCCCTTGTCGACCGTTGCTCACACCTCAGGTCGACGGACTGCTCCATCGACCTCCCCATCGAACTGGAACTCCTGGTCGACGGCCCACCCGTCGCCCAGCCCAGTCAGCTGCGCCCGTCGAGCACCCCTGGTCGACGGAAACCCCACAGTGACACCCTGCAGCTCGACGAAGCCCGTCGAGCAGCTCCTTCACTGCGAACGGTCGGCTGCTTCTCCCGTACATCCGACCAAGTTGTCGGCGTTGCCCAAGCGAGGGCGGGGCCAACACTCCACTCCCGTTAACAAGTAGCACCCCTGTGTGTATCTGCCCCAGTAGCACCTCTGTGTGGATCTGCCCTAGTAGCACCCCTGTATGTATCTGTCCTAGTAGCACCCCTGTGTATATCTGCCCCAGTAGCACCCCTGTGTGTATCTACCCCAGTAGCACTCCCGTGTGTATCTGCTCCAGTAGCACCCATGTGGGTATCTGCCCTAGTTGCAGCCCTCTGCGCTTCTGCCCCAGCTACACCGCTCTTTGCTTCTGCTCCGGTCGCATCCCTCTCTGCTTCTGCAGCACCCACAGGCAAGCTGGGCGACGGCATTCCAGGTGTCTTCGCCCTTTTAGTGCTAATAACAACCTTGTTTCACATCGTCCACCTGCTATAATGGCACATTCCTGGCTTCGGGTCATCCCGTCTCCATGTCATCCGAAATTTGCAGGATCCATTAGAAAAATCCGAAGCTCAACCGCGGGTTTTCCGATTGGCTACCACAATTTCCGGATGACACAAATACCGGATGACCCCGAAGCTAGAAATGCGCCCTAAATACAAGAACTTTACACCAAACTAGTTACTGGATGCACAACCATTTGTTTATTGAGGTGCAATCCCGAGGGAGGTGTATCACCGCCACCACGCTCATTCCACTTGCTTGAACAATAAATGGGTCGAGTACGATGCTGTGCAGTCAAAAGGATTCGAACACGTCACCGTACTGAACCGTTCATTATCCGTCCGAATACTGACACTGACACAACCGTGTGGACCCTGAGTGACACAACCGTGTAGACCTTGATGGGGGCTATGCTCTGCTCCATAGGCCTTGTTCGATTGCACTTCATTCTTTTGTACAGTCCCACCACAGTATAACCAAGTCGGCCTAGGGTTTCCGAACCTGGGGTCACTACCTTCCAGATGCAACTTGACTTGGTTTACAGTTTTGACAGCTGCCCGAACAGCCCAAGTCGCAACAGTCAGAACCGCGTAGTCAACGGATAAAACAAACCTACACAGTGCGCAATTCAATTAGTTCTAACAAAATCAGATACGAGATATTGTTACACAAAATTCCAAAATAGCACGTGTTGAACTTCGGAAAACTCACTGTTTGGTATTTAAAAGATGAAAATTTCAAATCCCAGTGTACCCTCGACAAACGCGTTTAAAATTAATATTAGTCAGCTGCTTTACGGGGAAACTGAGCACCAAACTTTCTAGGGTACAAATGTCTAATACACAATTTCTGCCAGAAAATCTTACACCTTCACAGTGGCATTGGGGAGGCTGTCGTTGGTGTTGCCAGCGGAAACCAAGTATTTTTTGCCCCTGAAGTACTGTTGCTTGAACAGTAGGCAACAGTGTTTGGACCGCGGTCCGCAGCGAAAATTACCTCACCAGATTCGTAGGTGTGCCGAACGTACTTGAGGTTCTGGTTCGGATCCGCCTAACCTCTCGTAACGTTTAAAGCCCATGTTTGCTGCTGCCGAGCCTTTACCAAGCCACGCAATTATGTGATAGGGCTGTGGAAACCCATGGACTTTGAAGCTATCGAACAGGGCTGTGGAATGTGCGGTGAAAGTAGGATCATCGTGGCTTCACCATGGCCTATCCCTCCTCTCTCCTCTCCGCTGCATGTGCGATTCCACGAATCCCATGGTACTCCTCATTAGCCGCCATCAGGAATGGCCTCTGCATGCACGCCTAAAGAACACGATGATCTTCAACCTCTCTTCTACCAAAACGCGGAAATGCTCTCTACCGAGTGGAAGCGTGTCCCCGAAACGTCATCCCAGCTGGTATGGGATGATCATGAACTTTTTGTCTCCCGAGTTGTCGACTGAACGCACAAGTGTCGGGAACCAGCAACAAGCGTAGATTTCTAGTTCTGCTGGAGAGCATATCAGATTCGAGCATGACGATTGGGACATGAGAGCCCTCGCGTGGTTGCGCTACGAGACTGCCTGCGTAGCACTTCACCTCTCGCTGTATCGACAACCCCGCTTCCCTCCGCGCTTCCCTCTCACGAAATACAAGCCCGGACGAAGCGAGAACTTCTTGCTGTCATACCGCCGTACCGCTCCGCCGCCGCGTCTGCCCGGCGTGTTTGAAACCCTGATTGCCGTACGACCGTTCAATAGCACGGCTGCGTCTCGAGTCGCCGCACTGGCGCGAGAAGCTTCTGGGGGAAGCGCTGTTCAGAGACGCCTTACTATGGCGAAACCGAATGATTCGTCCGGAATTCCTCCGCGGGAAACTGCGATTCTGTGGTTCCGAAAAGGCCTGCGGCTCCATGACAACCCCGCTCTGATCGCCGCTTGCGGTCTCGACGAAAACGGAACCGATTTAGATGACGAAAGTAACAAACCAGGTTCGGATTCACGAAAGCTCCGCACGGGGTTCGCGAAGGCGAGCGAAATGCTACCCTATGATGGCACTAAACCCGGCCCTGTTGCCCCTACAAGCAGTGCACTCAGCAGCAACACCGCCTTTGTCAAATCCGAGCCTGGCGGTTCCAGCAACAGCAACCTTGATTCTGCCGAACGACCTTCGAATGCCACGTCAGCAATCCGTCAGCTCTGTCCCGTGTTCGTCCTCGACCCGTGGTTTCTGGCTCCCGACCCGTCAGCTCCTTCCCTCGGGTCCACCCGCGTGGGAATCAACCGGATTCGGTTCCTGCTCGACTGCCTGAACGACCTTGACAGGTAAACATTGCTGAACTCATTTGTCAGCTCTGTCCCGTGTTCGTCCTAGACCCGTGGTTTCTGGCTCCCGACCCCTCCGCTCTATTCCCCGGGTCCACCCGCGTGGGAATCAACCGGATTCGGTTCCTGCTCGACTGCCTGAACGACCTTGACAGGTGATTGCTGCTGAAATTCGTCTGACATTTTTTTAAAGTGACTCTTGATCTAGACTGGTGATTACGGCTAAAATCATGTGACCTACCTAGGTGAAATTGCACGTGCTTCTTTCCCACCCGTTCCTCTCTGTTTTCGTCACCTCACCAGCCAGCTGAAGGCTCGAGGATCTCGGCTTATACTCGTTAAAGGCGACCCCACCATAGTGATTCCGAAGCTCGTGAAACAGGTAGGCAGCTGCAAAGGTCAAAGAGCAATTATTGGATGTTTTTCTAATGTCAAGATGTTGCTAACAGTATATATTTCTTTCTTTTATCCTGCCTCTCTCCCTCTCACAGTGGGGAGCAAAGATTCTGTGCTTTGAGTTTGACACTGAGCCATACGCCCTGGCTCGAGATGGCAAGATCAAGGTGGGTAGCATTGCATTTCTGAGGCGCCTCAAAATAGGCTCCCTCTAAGTGGGGAGCAAAGACGTGCTTTGAGTTTGACACCGAGCCATACGCCCTGGCTCGAGATGGCAAAATCAAGGTGGGTAGCATGGCATGGCATGGCATGACATGGCATGGGGTGGACGATAGTGCATATCACCTCTCACCCTCTCACAGCGGGGAGCAAAGACGCTGTGCTTTGAGTTTGATATTGAGCCATACGCCCTGGCTCGAGATGGCAAGATCAAGGTGGGTAGCATTGCTCTGAGGCGCCTCAGCAAATAGGCTCCCTCTAAGTGGGGAGCAAAGACGTGCTTTGAGTTTGACACCGAGCCATACGCCCTGGCTCGGGATGGCAATATCAAGGTGGGTGCATAGCATGGCATGGCATGGCATGGCATGGCATGGCATGGCATGGCATGGCATGGCATGGCATGGCATGGCATGGTATGGAGTGGACGGTGGCGAATGTGTTGTGTGAGTTCACATGCACCCTCTCTCCCTCTTCCTTCAATTCCTCTCTCTCCTTCACACTTTGTTGTCTGCATCGCCCCTCCTTGCATCCCTGCTTCTTGCTTCCCTCCTGCCTGCATCCCTCACCCTGTCTCACCCAATCCAATCCAACTCCATTCTCCTCATCCTATTCTCCTTATCCTTTTTTTCCAGGCAAGCATGCAGGAAGCGGGGGTGCGGGTGGTAACCCCAGTCAGTCACACCATCTTCGACCCAGCTGAAATCATCAGCAAGGTGACTACCCACTTCTTCATCAAGACAACCCAGTTCTGTCTTAGCTTACAGAATTGGGTTCTCTGAATGCAGCAACTACCCTCGTCAACTGATCAATCAAGTGTACAAAACTTTGTTATTCATTCTCCTTCGAAATCATGAGCACTTTTCGAGTCTTCCTGTTCCCTCTGTCACTTTCGTCCTCCCTTCTCCCTTCGCCCTCTCTCCGCTCCCTCAATCTCTCTCATCCCCTTCCCCCGCCGTCGCCCTCTCGCCACTCCTGCTTTTCCAGAATGGAGGCAAACCGCCCCTCACCTACCAGGCGTTTTGTAAACGAATAGGACAACCCTCACCACCCGTCGGGTCCGCTCCAGACAAATTACCGCCCCTGCCGCCCCACCTCGCTCATCACGTGACTATAAAAGCGGAAACGGACCCAGATCCAGCACTGTCAAAAGAGGGAGCACAGAAGTGTGACTATATCGAGGTCTTTGAGGCAGTGCCTACATTGAGTGACCTTGGCTACTCAGATGCAGAAGCTTTCCCAAAAGAGGTGAATGCTGTGTAGTGTAGAGACAATGCGAGTGGGGATGCCAGGGAAAGGAATGGGAAGGGGGTATGTCTTGAGAAGACGGGTTGGGAACGGGAGGGGGGAACTGTGGTGGTGCAGAGGGAGAGTGAGTGTGGTGGGTTGTAGACAATGCAGGCATTTTGATGTGCACCTGTGCGCCTCGTCTTCACTTGCAGCTCGCCTCATCATTCCTATTTGAGTGCTTAATGAGACGCATCAAACCTCACTAAAGTCACCCCGGCCGTCCCCCTCCTGTTCCCCGCAAGCTTTCTTGAGTTGACTGAAAATTGTGCATCCTCTTCTCTCTCAAACCCCCTCTCCGCCTCCTCTCGAACCCCACTTCTTCCGCTTTACCACAGGACGTCACTCCGTTCGATGGGGGGGAGACAGAGGCTCTACGCAGACTCGACGATTGCCTCTCACGAACGGTATGCTACGAGTCAACTCAAAAGTTGACGATTGCCTCTCACAAACGGTATTCTATGCTCAGCACAGCACCACCACTGTTTCGTAGCTTCTAAGAACTTTCAGAGTAAGAACACCACATTCACCCACTTTCCTTGACCGTTCCGACTTGAAGTTTCTGCAAAAGGATTAGCTAGTCTTGCAACTGAGGTCCTTTCGAGCCAAGACTAGCTGCTTACACTTTCTAATGCATTCTTTCGTGTGTGTCACAGAAATGGGTGAAGGATTTTGAGAAGCCCAAGGGTAATCCTTCCGCCCTCACACCTCCTGCCACCACCGTTCTCTCTCCCTACCTCAAGGTAGTTTTCCCTGTCTCTAACACCCAGTTTGGCTACCTCCCTTCTCATCGCATGTTCGCCCACTGTCAGGAGTTGCCTCCTCCCAACTCCCAACTGTTTCGACTTCCCAGTCTCTTTTCCCCTGTCTTCCCCCCTAATCCTCTCCCACGCCCACCTCTGCAACACCCACTTTGGCTGCCTCTCCTCGCGTCCCATGTATGCTCGCCGTCAATAGGTGCTTTTCCCAACTCCAACCCTCACTTCACCCCCTGCTCTTCTCCTATGTCCCCTCGCTTCCACCCCTACCGCACCTCAGTTTGGCTGCCTCTCCTCTCACCTCATGTACGCACGCATTCAGGAGGTGCTTGCCAAACAGCCAACCCGGCATCTCACTTCTCTTCTCCCCTCTCTCCCCATCCTCCCAACCCATCCGCACCTCAGTTTGGCTGCCTCTCCTCTCGCCTCATGTACGCACGCATTCAGGAGGTGCTTGCCAAACTGCCAACTCTGGATCCCACTTCTCTTCTCCCTCTCTCCCCATCCTCCCGACTTCAACCACCTCATCCCCAACACCAGTTTGGCTGCCTCTCCTCTCGCCTCATGTATGCGCGCATTCAGGAGGTGCTTGCCAAACTCCCAACTCTGGATCCCACTTCTCTTCTCCCTCTCTCCCCATCCTCCCGACCCCAACCCATCCCCAACACCAGTTTGGCTGCCTCTCCTCTCGCCTCATGTATGCGCGCATTCAGGAGGTGCTTGCCAAACTCCCAACTCTGGATCCCACTTCTCTTCTCCCTCTCTCCCCATCCTCCCGACCCCAACCCATCCCCAACACCAGTTTGGCTGCCTCTCCTCTCGCCTCATGTATGCACGCGTTCAGGAGGTGCTTTCTAAACAGCCCGGCCACACAAAGCCCCCAGTTTCCTTGATAGGGCAGGTGAGAGGGGGAATGCCTGCACAGACTGGTAACAGTGACATGTGTGCGATTGGTTGTGTGTGTTGAGACGCCAATTTTTTCTCACGGCAGCATACAGCACACCCCATTTCGACCACATACACGGCAAGGTGTTGGAAGAAGCGGTTCTTTTAGAAGTCATGTCCTCACTCCTCCTCCACCAGTCCTGATTCCCTGACTCCCCCTGCACCAGCTGCTGTGGCGCGAATTTTTCTACACGGCGGCATACGGCACACCCCATTTCGATCGCATGCAGGGCAGCAGCATCTGCAGGCAGGTCCCATGGAAGGTGGATCCCGAGCTGCTAGCTGCGTGGCGAGATGCCAAAACCGGCTTCCCTTGGATCGACGCTATCATGGTTCAGGTAGGTGGTACCTCATGCAGGTAAGTCAACACACACACCATGCAGGGCAGCAGCATCTGCAGGCAGGTCCCATGGAAGGTGGATCCCGAGCTGCTGGCTGCGTGGCGAGATGCTCGGACTGGCTTCCCTTGGATCGACGCTATCATGGTTCAGGTAGGTGGTACCTGGTGCAGGTAAGTCAACACACACACCATGCAGGGCAGCAGCATCTGCCGGCAGATCCCCTGGAAGGTGGATTCAGAGTTGCTGGCTGCGTGGCGAGATGCCAAAACCGGGTTTCCTTGGATCGACGCCATCATGGTGCAGGTAGGTGGCAGCTAGTGCAGGTTGTATCTGGTGCTGCTAGCTGGTGCTGGTAGGTCACACACGATGCAGGGCAGCAGCATCTGCAGGCAGGTTCCCTGGAAGGTGGATCTGGAGCTGCTGGCCGCGTGGCGAGATGCCAAAACTGGCTTCCCTTGGATCGACCATCATGGTGCAGGTAGGATGTGGGGGAGGTTGTATCTGGTGCGGGCAGTATGTGGTGGATTGATGTGGCCAGAGGATCTCTATGGAACCGTCATTTTTGTTACTGCTTGCCTCATTCCCCTGCTGTTTTCACTCCCTTTCCTCTCCTCCACCCTCCTCTCAGCTCCGCCAGTGGGGGTGGATGCATCATCTGGCTCGCCACTGCGTCGCCTGCTTCCTCGCTCTCTTTTGTGATGGACTCACTCCTCGCCCTTTTGCCTCTCTCTCCCCGACTCCATTCCCATACCAGCTCCGCCAGTGGGGGTGGATGCATCATCTGGCTCGCCACTGCGTCGCCTGCTTCCTCGCTCTCTTTTGTGATGGACTCACTCCTCGCCCTTTTGCCTCTCTCTCCCCGACTCCATTCCCATACCAGCTCCGCCAGTGGGGGTGGATGCATCATCTGGCTCGCCACTGCGTCGCCTGCTTCCTCGCTCTCTTTTGTGATGGACTCACTCCTCGCCCTTTTGCCTCTCTCTCCCCGACTCCATTCCCATACCAGCTCCGCCAGTGGGGGTGGATGCATCATCTGGCTCGCCACTGCGTCGCCTGCTTCCTCACTCTCTATTGTGATGGACTCACTCCTCGCCCTTTTGCCTCTCTCTCCCCGACTCCATTCCCATACCAGCTCCGCCAGTGGGGGTGGATGCATCATCTGGCTCGCCACTGCGTCGCCTGCTTCCTCGCTCTCTTTTGTGATGGACTCACTCCTCGCCCTTGTGCCTCTCTCTCCCCGACTCCATTCCCATACCAGCTCCGCCAGTGGGGGTGGATGCATCATCTGGCTCGCCACTGCGTCGCCTGCTTCCTCGCTCTCTTTTGTGATGGACTCACTCCTCGCCCTTTTGCCTCTCTCTCCCCGACTCCATTCCCATACCAGCTCCGCCAGTGGGGGTGGATGCATCATCTGGCTCGCCACTGCGTCGCCTGCTTCCTCGCTCTCTTTTGTGATGGACTCACTCCTCGCCCTTTTGCCTCTCTCTCCCCGACTCCATTCCCATACCAGCTCCGCCAGTGGGGGTGGATGCATCATCTGGCTCGCCACTGCGTCGCCTGCTTCCTCGCTCTCTTTTGTGATGGACTCACTCCTCGCCCTTTTGCCTCTCTCTCCCCGACTCCATTCCCATACCAGCTCCGCCAGTGGGGGTGGATGCATCATCTGGCTCGCCACTGCGTCGCCTGCTTCCTCGCTCTCTTTTGTGATGGACTCACTCCTCGCCCTTTTGCCTCTCTCTCCCCGACTCCATTCCCATACCAGCTCCGCCAGTGGGGGTGGATGCATCATCTGGCTCGCCACTGCGTCGCCTGCTTCCTCGCTCTCTTTTGTGATGGACTCACTCCTCGCCCTTTTGCCTCTCTCTCCCCGACTCCATTCCCATACCAGCTCCGCCAGTGGGGGTGGATGCATCATCTGGCTCGCCACTGCGTCGCCTGCTTCCTCGCTCTCTTTTGTGATGGACTCACTCCTCGCCCTTTTGCCTCTCTCTCCCCGACTCCATTCCCATACCAGCTCCGCCAGTGGGGGTGGATGCATCATCTGGCTCGCCACTGCGTCGCCTGCTTCCTCGCTCTCTTTTGTGATGGGCTCACTCCTCGCCCTTTTGCCTCTCTCTCCCCGACTCCATTCCCATACCAGCTCCGCCAGTGGGGGTGGATGCATCATCTGGCTCGCCACTGCGTCGCCTGCTTCCTCGCTCTCTTTTGTGATGGACTCACTCCTCGCCCTTTTGCCTCTCTCTCCCCGACTCCATTCCCATACCAGCTCCGCCAGTGGGGGTGGATGCATCATCTGGCTCGCCACTGCGTCGCCTGCTTCCTCGCTCTCTTTTGTGATGGACTCACTCCTCGCCCTTTTGCCTCTCTCTCCCCGACTCCATTCCCATACCAGCTCCGCCAGTGGGGGTGGATGCATCATCTGGCTCGCCACTGCGTCGCCTGCTTCCTCGCTCTCTTTTGTGATGGACTCACTCCTCGCCCTTTTGCCTCTCTCTCCCCGACTCCATTCCCATACCAGCTCCGCCAGTGGGGGTGGATGCATCATCTGGCTCGCCACTGCGTCGCCTGCTTCCTCGCTCTCTTTTGTGATGGACTCACTCCTCGCCCTTTTGCCTCTCTCTCCCCGACTCCATTCCCATACCAGCTCCGCCAGTGGGGGTGGATGCATCATCTGGCTCGCCACTGCGTCGCCTGCTTCCTCGCTCTCTTTTGTGATGGACTCACTCCTCGCCCTTTTGCCTCTCTCTCCCCGACTCCATTCTTATACCAGCTCCGCCAGTGGGGGTGGATGCATCATCTGGCTCGCCACTGCGTCGCCTGCTTCCTCGCTCTCTTTTGTGATGGACTCACTCCTCGCCCTTTTGCCTCTCTCTCCCCGACTCCATTCCCATACCAGCTCCGCCAGTGGGGGTGGATGCATCATCTGGCTCGCCACTGCGTCGCCTGCTTCCTCGCTCTCTTTTGTGATGGGCTCACTCCTCGCCCTTTTGCCTCTCTCTCCCCGACTCCATTCCCATACCAGCTCCGCCAGTGGGGGTGGATGCATCATCTGGCTCGCCACTGCGTCGCCTGCTTCCTCGCTCTCTTTTGTGATGGACTCACTCCTCGCCCTTTTGCCTCTCTCTCCCCGACTCCATTCCCATACCAGCTCCGCCAGTGGGGGTGGATGCATCATCTGGCTCGCCACTGCGTCGCCTGCTTCCTCGCTCTCTTTTGTGATGGACTCACTCCTCGCCCTTTTGCCTCTCTCTCCCCGACTCCATTCCCATACCAGCTCCGCCAGTGGGGGTGGATGCATCATCTGGCTCGCCACTGCGTCGCCTGCTTCCTCGCTCTCTTTTGTGATGGACTCACTCCTCGCCCTTTTGCCTCTCTCTCCCCGACTCCATTCCCATACCAGCTCCGCCAGTGGGGGTGGATGCATCATCTGGCTCGCCACTGCGTCGCCTGCTTCCTCGCTCTCTTTTGTGATGGACTCACTCCTCGCCCTTTTGCCTCTCTCTCCCCGACTCCATTCCCATACCAGCTCCGCCAGTGGGGGTGGATGCATCATCTGGCTCGCCACTGCGTCGCCTGCTTCCTCGCTCTCTTTTGTGATGGGCTCACTCCTCGCCCTTTTGCCTCTCTCTCCCCGACTCCATTCCCATACCAGCTCCGCCAGTGGGGGTGGATGCATCATCTGGCTCGCCACTGCGTCGCCTGCTTCCTCGCTCTCTTTTGTGATGGACTCACTTCTCGCCCTTTTGCCTCTCTCTCCCCGACTCCATTCCCATACCAGCTCCGCCAGTGGGGGTGGATGCATCATCTGGCTCGCCACTGCGTCGCCTGCTTCCTCGCTCTCTTTTGTGATGGACTCACTTCTCGCCCTTTTGCCTCTCTCTCCCCGACTCCATTCCCATACCAGCTCCGCCAGTGGGGGTGGATGCATCATCTGGCTCGCCACTGCGTCGCCTGCTTCCTCGCTCTCTTTTGTGATGGACTCACTTCTCGCCCTTTTGCCTCTCTCTCCCCGACTCCATTCCCATACCAGCTCCGCCAGTGGGGGTGGATGCATCATCTGGCTCGCCACTGCGTCGCCTGCTTCCTCGCTCTCTTTTGTGATGGACTCACTTCTCGCCCTTTTGCCTCTCTCTCCCCGACTCCATTCCCATACCAGCTCCGCCAGTGGGGGTGGATGCATCATCTGGCTCGCCACTGCGTCGCCTGCTTCCTCGCTCTCTTTTGTGATGGACTCACTTCTCGCCCTTTTGCCTCTCTCTCCCCGACTCCATTCCCATACCAGCTCCGCCAGTGGGGGTGGATGCATCATCTGGCTCGCCACTGCGTCGCCTGCTTCCTCGCTCTCTTTTGTGATGGACTCACTTCTCGCCCTTTTGCCTCTCTCTCCCCGACTCCATTCCCATACCAGCTCCGCCAGTGGGGGTGGATGCATCATCTGGCTCGCCACTGCGTCGCCTGCTTCCTCGCTCTCTTTTGTGATGGACTCACTTCTCGCCCTTTTGCCTCTCTCTCCCCGACTCCATTCCCATACCAGCTCCGCCAGTGGGGGTGGATGCATCATCTGGCTCGCCACTGCGTCGCCTGCTTCCTCGCTCTCTTTTGTGATGGACTCACTTCTCGCCCTTTTGCCTCTCTCTCCCCGACTCCATTCCCATACCAGCTCCGCCAGTGGGGGTGGATGCATCATCTGGCTCGCCACTGCGTCGCCTGCTTCCTCGCTCTCTTTTGTGATGGGCTCACTCCTCGCCCTTTTGCCTCTCTCTCCCCGACTCCATTCCCATACCAGCTCCGCCAGTGGGGGTGGATGCATCATCTGGCTCGCCACTGCGTCGCCTGCTTCCTCGCTCTCTTTTGTGATGGGCTCACTCCTCGCCCTTTTGCCTCTCTCTCCCCGACTCCATTCCCATACCAGCTCCGCCAGTGGGGGTGGATGCATCATCTGGCTCGCCACTGCGTCGCCTGCTTCCTCGCTCTCTTTTGTGATGGACTCACTTCTCGCCCTTTTGCCTCTCTCTCCCCGACTCCATTCCCATACCAGCTCCGCCAGTGGGGGTGGATGCATCATCTGGCTCGCCACTGCGTCGCCTGCTTCCTCGCTCTCTTTTGTGATGGGCTCACTCCTCGCCCTTTTGCCTCTCTCTCCCCGACTCCATTCCCATACCAGCTCCGCCAGTGGGGGTGGATGCATCATCTGGCTCGCCACTGCGTCGCCTGCTTCCTCGCTCTCTTTTGTGATGGGCTCACTCCTCGCCCTTTTGCCTCTCTCTCCCCGACTCCATTCCCATACCAGCTCCGCCAGTGGGGGTGGATGCATCATCTGGCTCGCCACTGCGTCGCCTGCTTCCTCGCTCTCTTTTGTGATGGACTCACTCCTCGCCCTTTTGCCTCTCTCTCCCCGACTCCATTCCCATACCAGCTCCGCCAGTGGGGGTGGATGCATCATCTGGCTCGCCACTGCGTCGCCTGCTTCCTCGCTCTCTTTTGTGATGGGCTCACTCCTCGCCCTTTTGCCTCTCTCTCCCCGACTCCATTCCCATACCAGCTCCGCCAGTGGGGGTGGATGCATCATCTGGCTCGCCACTGCGTCGCCTGCTTCCTCGCTCTCTTTTGTGATGGGCTCACTCCTCGCCCTTTTGCCTCTCTCTCCCCGACTCCATTCCCATACCAGCTCCGCCAGTGGGGGTGGATGCATCATCTGGCTCGCCACTGCGTCGCCTGCTTCCTCGCTCTCTTTTGTGATGGACTCACTTCTCGCCCTTTTGCCTCTCTCTCCCCGACTCCATTCCCATACCAGCTCCGCCAGTGGGGGTGGATGCATCATCTGGCTCGCCACTGCGTCGCCTGCTTCCTCGCTCTCTTTTGTGATGGGCTCACTCCTCGCCCTTTTGCCTCTCTCTCCCCGACTCCATTCCCATACCAGCTCCGCCAGTGGGGGTGGATGCATCATCTGGCTCGCCACTGCGTCGCCTGCTTCCTCGCTCTCTTTTGTGATGGGCTCACTCCTCGCCCTTTTGCCTCTCTCTCCCCGACTCCATTCCCATACCAGCTCCGCCAGTGGGGGTGGATGCATCATCTGGCTCGCCACTGCGTCGCCTGCTTCCTCGCTCTCTTTTGTGATGGACTCACTCCTCGCCCTTTTGCCTCTCTCTCCCCGACTCCATTCCCATACCAGCTCCGCCAGTGGGGGTGGATGCATCATCTGGCTCGCCACTGCGTCGCCTGCTTCCTCGCTCTCTTTTGTGATGGGCTCACTCCTCGCCCTTTTGCCTCTCTCTCCCCGACTCCATTCCCATACCAGCTCCGCCAGTGGGGGTGGATGCATCATCTGGCTCGCCACTGCGTCGCCTGCTTCCTCGCTCTCTTTTGTGATGGGCTCACTCCTCGCCCTTTTGCCTCTCTCTCCCCGACTCCATTCCCATACCAGCTCCGCCAGTGGGGGTGGATGCATCATCTGGCTCGCCACTGCGTCGCCTGCTTCCTCGCTCTCTTTTGTGATGGACTCACTCCTCGCCCTTTTGCCTCTCTCTCCCCGACTCCATTCCCATACCAGCTCCGCCAGTGGGGGTGGATGCATCATCTGGCTCGCCACTGCGTCGCCTGCTTCCTCGCTCTCTTTTGTGATGGGCTCACTCCTCGCCCTTTTGCCTCTCTCTCCCCGACTCCATTCCCATACCAGCTCCGCCAGTGGGGGTGGATGCATCATCTGGCTCGCCACTGCGTCGCCTGCTTCCTCGCTCTCTTTTGTGATGGGCTCACTCCTCGCCCTTTTGCCTCTCTCTCCCCGACTCCATTCCCATACCAGCTCCGCCAGTGGGGGTGGATGCATCATCTGGCTCGCCACTGCGTCGCCTGCTTCCTCGCTCTCTTTTGTGATGGACTCACTCCTCGCCCTTTTGCCTCTCTCTCCCCGACTCCATTCCCATACCAGCTCCGCCAGTGGGGGTGGATGCATCATCTGGCTCGCCACTGCGTCGCCTGCTTCCTCGCTCTCTTTTGTGATGGACTCACTCCTCGCCCTTTTGCCTCTCTCTCCCCGACTCCATTCCCATACCAGCTCCGCCAGTGGGGGTGGATGCATCATCTGGCTCGCCACTGCGTCGCCTGCTTCCTCGCTCTCTTTTGTGATGGGCTCACTCCTCGCCCTTTTGCCTCTCTCTCCCCGACTCCATTCCCATACCAGCTCCGCCAGTGGGGGTGGATGCATCATCTGGCTCGCCACTGCGTCGCCTGCTTCCTCGCTCTCTTTTGTGATGGGCTCACTCCTCGCCCTTTTGCCTCTCTCTCCCCGACTCCATTCCCATACCAGCTCCGCCAGTGGGGGTGGATGCATCATCTGGCTCGCCACTGCGTCGCCTGCTTCCTCGCTCTCTTTTGTGATGGACTCACTCCTCGCCCTTTTGCCTCTCTCTCCCCGACTCCATTCCCATACCAGCTCCGCCAGTGGGGGTGGATGCATCATCTGGCTCGCCACTGCGTCGCCTGCTTCCTCGCTCTCTTTTGTGATGGGCTCACTCCTCGCCCTTTTGCCTCTCTCTCCCCGACTCCATTCCCATACCAGCTCCGCCAGTGGGGGTGGATGCATCATCTGGCTCGCCACTGCGTCGCCTGCTTCCTCGCTCTCTTTTGTGATGGACTCACTCCTCGCCCTTTTGCCTCTCTCTCCCCGACTCCATTCCCATACCAGCTCCGCCAGTGGGGGTGGATGCATCATCTGGCTCGCCACTGCGTCGCCTGCTTCCTCGCTCTCTTTTGTGATGGGCTCACTCCTCGCCCTTTTGCCTCTCTCTCCCCGACTCCATTCCCATACCAGCTCCGCCAGTGGGGGTGGATGCATCATCTGGCTCGCCACTGCGTCGCCTGCTTCCTCGCTCTCTTTTGTGATGGACTCACTCCTCGCCCTTTTGCCTCTCTCTCCCCGACTCCATTCCCATACCAGCTCCGCCAGTGGGGGTGGATGCATCATCTGGCTCGCCACTGCGTCGCCTGCTTCCTCACTCGAGGAGATCTGGTAATTTCCGCTCTGGGGTTGGTGCTTGTTGTGGTTAGTTTGTCTAATCTGCTCTTCAAGTGGTGCTCGTAGGTGGTGTTTTGGTTCGATAAATCACCATCACACTGCTTTGTCTCAGCCTCTACCTGCTTACCCCATCACCATTGCATTTATTCTCCCATCACCCATTTGGACAAAAGTGTGACTGATTGCTGCGCTGTGGTGACTCACACTACACCCACCCAAACCCTGCTCCACTCCTCCCAGCCCCTTTCTTCTCCCCACCACCTCCAACCGCACTTCTTGTGCCTGTGGGTTGGGGCGGGATCTTTTCTTCTGTGCATCTGGTGAAGCATATGGGAAGTGATGTCATCAAAGCGTTTGGCAAGTGGTTAACTTGATGTCCGTGTGTCATGCGTGCGATGTTGCAATGTTGCATAATATTGTACACCTAACACCCGGGCACCAATTTAACCACTTCCCAAACACTTTGATGTCATCACTTTCCATATCCTTAGCCGTTCATGTTGATGTCATCGACTGCACAGCTGGTGCACTGCGAACTCGGCCGGGACGTATTTGATCGCTTGTTACTAGATGCAGATTGGGCTGTCAACAATGGCAACTGGCTCTGGCTCTGGCTCTCCCCAGTATCACCACATCTACTCGCCCAGCACCCTTCTGGGCAGCACGTGTGTGACTGGCTGCTGAGGTGTGGTGTCTCACAACACAACCCCAAACCCTGTTCCTCTCCCTCTCTATTCCCCACCCCTCACACGGCAGTTGGTGCACTGGGAGTTGGGGCGGGATGTGTTTGATCGCCTGCTACTGGACGCGGACTGGGCCATCAACAACGGCAACTGGCTCTGGCTCTCCGCCTCTGCCTTCTTCTCCCAGTACCACCGCATCTACTCCCCCGTCACCTTCGGCAAGAAATATGACCCCTCGGGAAAATTCATCCGCCACTTCCTCCCTGTTCTGAAAGGTATTTACCCCGTGTTTAATCTGCTTCATCTTCTTTCTTTTCTTTTTTTTTTAAGTTTCTTTTAACACTTACCACTTCAACATTGTATCAATTGTGCTGAATGCAGTGTTGTACCTGCGTATTCACCCGCCAGAGATACCGTCACAAGCCGTGGACTGCACTTCTGTGACTTCTGAGCCGACCCTCCTCTCTGGCCCCACAACACCTGCACTGCACACGCACCCACCAGACATGCCATCACAGTACATCTATGAGCCGTGGACGGCACGCTGTGAATTCTGAGTCGGCTCCCCTCTCCAACCCCCTTTCGTTAACTTGACACCTGTATGCTCACCCACCAGACATGCCATCACAGTACATTTATGAGCCGTGGACAGAACGCTGTGACTTCTGTGTCGACTAACCTTTCCCCCGCCAACCCCCTTTCGCCAATCCAACACCTGCACACGCACCCACCAGACATGCCATCACAGTACATCTATGAGCCGTGGTCGGCACCGCTGGCCGTGCAACGCCGGGCCAACTGCATTGTTGGAAAGGACTATCCCAATCCAAGTGAGTGAGCCATTTTTTCTCCCATTACCATCAAGTTTGTAACCCATTTTACAAGTTTTTTTTTTCTTTTTGGCTGTGTTGACCGAGCTTGTGTTGTGTCCCTGGCAAGGTGGAATATTTCTGGTGTGAGAGTGGCCTTCGATTCTGCATGGCATTATGAGTGCTTTTCTTGCTTTCCGTGCTTCCCTCTTCGCCGTTTCCACACCCAGTTGTCGACCATGCGGAGGCCAGTGAGCGGTGTCGTGACGTCATGAGTGCAGCCTACGCTGCAAACCGCTCGGCTGCAAATGCAAGCACATCGATAAATCAGCCAGATACCGCTGCAACGAATCATGCTATATTAAGGGATCGTGCAGCTTCAAGGATGCCTACATTGCCTTTTAAAGGAGGCAGTGGTGGTGATGCGATGGATAGAGGAGGCAAATCAAGGCGGACGAGAAGAGGGGGTTCCGTTCGGAAGGGTGATTCTGGAGAGATGGAAAGAGGTGATGTCAAGCCTGGTCCGACGAAGAAAAAGCAGAAGAGAATCGATGACATGTTAAAAGGTTGATGTGTTAATAGAAAAGGTGAACTTTCGAGTGTACATTTGTTCTTGTGTTGAAATGCAATGCTCAATAAACCGGTCTGGAGGGGTTTCAAGTTTCGGCCAACCCCGTTGTTCACTTCTGCTGTTGAAGGATCGTCGCGTCGAGTAGCATGTTTCAGCAGATAGCCGTTAGTAGCGCACGCGTCGGCTTCTAGCAGCGATTGCTATAGAGAGCCGTCAGTAGCGCACGCGTCGGCTTCTAGCAGCATTTAACTATAGGGAGCCGTCAGTAGCGCGCAAACATTTGCGGTAGCAATAAGCGGGAGTCGGGAGAGAATAGAAACTACCAGTACACCTGCCCCGGTCGCTTTCAGCTTGGAACAATGCCGATCGCACCGCCATGCAGTGCGGGAGCAAGCCACGTGTCAAACACACAGACGTGCCACGTGTCGCTCGAGGGGATGGTGTTCCACGGGTTTCACGGGGTTCTGCCCGAGGAGCGCGTGTTGGGGCAGAAATTCGTCGTCGACACGTGGATGTGGCTGGCGGACTCGCTGCTGCACCAAGATTCGTTAGTAGAAGATTCGTTTCAAGATAAAGCGTCGCAAGATTATTCGTTGCAAGAGCAATTGTTTAATTACTCGCACGTCTACAAGTACGAGAATTTACCTTCCCTCCTCCGCACTCTCCTTCCCTCTCCCTCTCCTCCCTTCCCCTCCCCACTTCCCAGTCCATTCTTTTCCCCGTTCCTCCCTCCCTTCCCTCCACTCCGCGTCTTTCCACACATCGCTGCCCCCCGTCCCCCACCCCCTTTCCCCATATACTTCCCCATCCGCTGCCCTTCGTTCCTCCTCCCTTCCCCCCCTCCCCCTCCGTCTCCCCCTTGAATCCCCCCCTTCCAATTATCCTTCCCCGTCCCAGCATTGTGCGTGCGCAAATAACGGGACCCCCTCACCTCCTATTGGAGAGCTCGGCATACTCCGTGGGCCGCCAGTTGCTGCTGACGTGTCCTGAGCTGGCACGCGTGGCTGTCCGCGTCAGCAAGCCACATGTCGCCTTCACAGGGGTGCTGAAATCTGTCGGAATCCAGCTAGAGTGCAAACGACAAACACTGTGAGTGCAAACCAATCCAAGGCACATTCTAGAATTTTCGAATAAAACATTCTTTTTACGATTCTTCTTGCAAAAAAAAAAAAGGAGGGGGAGGTGGGAGGGGGGGGTTGGGGGGGGAGGAGGGGTTGCTCACTCGACTGAGGTGATGTTCCCTTCATGCGTCCATTTTCCCATCCCTCCATTCCCCTCCACCCCTCCATTTCCCTCCACCCCTCCACTTCAACCTCCCCTCAGGCAGAAGGGAAGAGGAACAAGTGGATGGCACCGAAGAGAAGGAGGGAAGCGAAGAGGAGAAGAAAGGAGGGGAACATCAGGGGCGACGGGATGTTGAGACGGCTCTAAACAAGAGGGAACGCGAAGAAGAGGGGGGAGGAGGAGGGGAGCAAGGGCAAAAGGCAACGACGGCAGTGGTTGTGGACGGGGAGAGCAGTATGCTGGCGCGCGGGAAGGAAAGAGAAGAGGAGGAGGGAGGGGGAGAGCAGGGGCGGCTAGATGCTACTGCAGTGGTGGTGGATGGGGAGAGCAGTATGCTCGTGCTGGAAGGACTTGCTTTTTATTGCCAGGGCACTGGGGAATAGGAGAGGGGGGAACGAGAGAAGAGAAGGGAGAGAGAGGATTTCCCAGTGCAGATGTCAAGAATTCTCATGGAGGTGCGGAGAGTCTGTGTTCACGTGTGGAGAGGTGCCGTGTGGAGAGTGCACATGCAGCTGGGGTGGAGAGTTGGTGTGTGCGTGTGGAGGTGGATGTGTGTGTGTGGGTGAACCTGGCTGCGGCAGCACGGTCGGATGAACTGCAAGACTCGGTGGACTACGGGGAGATCTACAAGTGAGTGTGTTTCTTGATTCGCCTTTAGCTGGTGTGCGGAGTTGGTATGCCCGTGCGGAGAATGCGAGTGCAGCTGGGGTGGAGACCCCATATGCGCGTGTGGAGGTAGACGTGTGTGTGTGGGTGAACCTGGCTGCTGCAGCACAGTCAGATGAGCTTCAAAGACTCGGTGGACTATGGGGAGATCTACAAGTGAGTGTGATTCTTGAGTCAACTGACTCATCATAACGACCAGATAAGTGCGACTCTTGAGTGCGGTGCGGTGCTGTGCTGTGCAGCGCGGTCGGATGAACTGCAAGACTCGGTGGACTATGGGGAGATCTACAAGTGAGTGTGATTCTTGAGTCAACTGACTCATCATAACTACCAGATGAGTGCGACTCTTGAGTGCGGTGCGGTGCTGTGCTGTGCAGCGCGGTCGGATGAACTGCAAGACTCGGTGGACTATGGGGAGATCTACAAGTGAGTGTGATTCTTGAGTCAACTGATTCATCATAACTACCAGATGAGTGCGACTCTTGAGTGCGGTGCGGGGCTGTGCTGTGCAGCGCAGTCCGATGAACTGCAAGACTCGGTGGACTATGGGGAGATCTACAAGTGAGTGTAATACACTGTTTTTCAATAACTCCTAGCACACCACCTGGTTTTTCCCTTGAATTGTGCCCTGTAACACAGAAGAACTGGGAGTGCTCTTTTGTCTCGCTCTCATACTCCCCTCTGTTTTGCCCACCACGTGTTCCTTCCCCAAACGCCTCCACTCCCCCTTTTTTTTAGTTGACTCAAAAATAGCCAAACAACTCCATTCCCCCTCCTCTTCCCCCTTTCCCCCCACTCCCCCTTCTCTCCCCCCTCCCCACCTATCCTTCGTTTTGTCCCTTCAGCATTGCACGGTGGCACGTTGAGAATCAGCAGCTCCCTCCTCTCACTCCCCCCGCCCTGCCTGCACTCGCCCACACCATCGCGACCACCATCCGCACCTCTCTCCCCCGCGTGCACAGAACCTGGGTGCGACTGGCTGCTCCTGCTCCTGCCTCCCTGTCCGGGGTGGTTGGGTGCGCTGCAGCACAGGTCACCCTGTAGAAAGAGGTGCTGGGTGCACGTCCCTCTCTCCCCCGCACGCACAGAACCTGGGTGCGACTGGCTGCTCCTGCTCCTGCCTCCCTGCCTGGTGCTGTTGGGTGCGCTGCAGCAGAGATAACATTGTAGGCAGAGCAGAGACTGCGATAGAAACTGAAGGCCACTAGAGCTCACACACCCGTCCCTGCCCCTTGAGACATCTCAGAAGGACTTTTGACACGTCTCAGAAGGACTTTTGACACATCTCAGAAGGTGCGCTGCAGCCTGCAGCAGAGGTCAGCTTGTAGGCAGAGCAGAGACTGTGATAGAAACTGAAGGCCACTAAAGTCACATACACACCCGTCCCTGCCCTCCCCGCTCTCGCCCGCACCATCGCTACCACCATCCGCACCACTCTCTCTCACCCACCTCCACGGAGCCTGGGTGCTACTGCTGGCCGCTCCTGCTCCCGCCTCCCTGTCCGGGCCTGTTGGGTGTGCTGCAGCTGAGATCACCCTGTAGACAGATATTGCTCTGTATGCCGAAAATGCTTCAGTGTAGCAAGCGCTGCTTATTTTTGACATATAATAATTTATGTTGATAAGGCACGTTCATTGAAATCGTTGTAACAAAATTTACGGTACTTGCTTCAATAGTGGAACGAACACAAATATCTATACATATGTATAAACACTATAATAAAAATATCAGTCCTTACTAGAGCCCCATGTAACACATGGATCGTCATCCATTACTAGTAGCAATTTCTTCTTGCCCTGAAAGTGTACCGCCAGCAATTGCACCACCTCCCCTTTGTTTTGACCTCTGCCCACAAAAGGCTTGAAATATTCGTAACGCATTGAGGTTGGTGTCTTCATGCCTTCCCTCGGGCAGAAGTGAAACCTTTTCTTCTTGCCCTGGTGTAAGAACAGAATGAAAGATTAGGCATAAGGGGCAGGCAGCAAGCAATGGAGGTAGTGACTTAAAAGGTGTCTTTCTAAAGGTTTGTAGTGTTCTTTGAAGATTTTTTTCCTTTCAATATAATTATTTCTTTTTTTTTTTTCGTTTCCTTTTCTTTTTCCCTTTCGTGCTAATGAAAGATGCTGCTACAGTGCCTGCCCCCATTACAGAGCCGCCACTCGATGCTGGTAGATACTTAGGGTACATTCCTGTCTTGACATTTGTGTCACAAAGCGGCGGTACCGCTCTGTACCGAATCGAACGGCTTTGTTGAAACATTTCGAATTTGGGTTCGATTCGATACAGAGTGGTACCGCTGCTTTGTGACACGAATGTCAAGACAGGAATGTTCCCTTACAATTGAATAGTACCATACCATGCCATAACATGTTGTGCAACAGCATACAAAGCCCTACAATGCCGTACAAACTTGGAACTGCAACACCCAGCAACAATGCAGCAGCAGCATACTCACAACGGAGAAGTTGTTATCGAAGGCACACCACCCGGCATCGCTCCAAGCACTCGCCTCGCACTGCCTGGGCGCACACAGCGACTCCGCCTTGAAGGCCGGCCTGAACCTGCCGTGCAGGCGTGGGTACTGGGTGGATCCCTCCTTGTCCTTGCACTGCCGGGGAAGAGAGGGAGAGGGGGGAAGGGGGAAACCAAGAAAGGGGGAAAGCGGGGGAGGGTGGAAGGGGGAAAGGGGTACTGGGCGGATCTCTCCTTGTCCTTTTCATTGAGGGAAAGGAAGAAAAACAATGGACAGGGAAAAGGTTGGAAGGGAGCAGGGGGGGAAAGTTATTTTGAAAATTCTCAGCTGTACCACCGCACCACCCCAGCTGCACCACCGCACCACCCCAGCTGCACCACCGCACCGCACCCCACCCCATCCCAGCAGCAGCATGGCGGTAGCAGGAGCGGGTTGGCGTGTCCCTCGGCCACCGCACCCCACCCCTCCACCGCACCCCACCCCTCCACCGCACCCCACCCCTCCACCGCACCCCACCCCTCCACCGCACCCCACCCCTCCACCGCACCCCACCCCTCCACCGCACAACACCCCTCCACCGCACCCCACCCCTCCACCGCACCCCACCCCTCCACTGCACCCCACCCCTCCACCGCACCCCACCCCTCCACCGCACCCCACCCCTCCACCGCACCCCACCCCTCCACCGCACCCCACCCCTCCACCGCACCCCACCTCTCCACCGCACCCCACCCCTCCACCGCACCCCACCCCTCCACCGCACCCCACCCCTCCACCGCACCCCACCCCTCCACCGCACCCCACCCCTCCACCGCACCCCACCCCTCCACCGCACCCCACCCCTCCACCGCACCCCACCCCTCCACCGCACCCCACCCCTCCACCGCACCCCACCCCTCCACCGCACCCCACCCCTCCACCGCACCCCACCCCTCCACCGCACCCCACCCCTCCACCGCACCCCACCCCTCCACCGCACCCCACCCCTCCACCGCACCCCACCCCTCCACCGCACCCCACCCCTCCACCGCACCCCACCCCTCCACCGCACCCCACCCCTCCACCGCACCCCACCCCTCCACCGCACCCCACCCCTCCACCGCACCCCACCCCTCCACCGCACCCCACCCCTCCACCGCACCCCACCCCTCCACCGCAACCCACCCCTCCACCGCACCCCACCCCTCCACCGCACCCCACCCCTCCACATCCTAGACCTTACCGTTGCGGGCGCTTGGCCTGGAGAGGAAGTCCAGCAGGTAGGGCTGGCATACCAACCCAGTAGTATCATGTCGTTGTATGCGCGCTGCCGATCTGGCAGGGAGGGGTCTCCTGGGGTCCCTCCCTTCACCGCCAGCTGTGAAGAGAGAAAGAAAGGGGTTGCAATGAGACAAGGGAATGAGATGAAACAACTCCATGTCGTTGTATGTGCGCTGCTGAGCGGGCAGCGAGGGGTCTCCTGGGGTTCCTCCCTTCACCGCCATCTGTAAAGAGAGAAAAGGGGTGTGATGAGACAAGGGAATGAGATGAAGCAACTCCCAGCTGAATCATGTCGTTGTATGTATGCTGAGCGGGCAGCGAGGGGTCTCCTGAGGTTCCTCCTTTCACCGCCACCTGTAAGAAGGGGGAATGATAGCAGGAGAGGGATCAGCAGGAGGAAATGAGTGAGAGGGGAGAAAAGGCACCCACCCCAGCTGAATCATGTCGTTGTGCGCTGCTGAGATGGGAACGAGGGGTCCCCCGGGGTTCCTCCTTTCACCGCCACCTGTAAAGCAGGAGAATGAGAGCAGGAGAGGGAGGGAATGAGCAGGAGGGAATGAGTGAGAGGGGAGATGAAGCACCCATTCCAACTGCAGTGCTAGAGAAACCATGAGTTACGATCACTCGCACACTTTTGAAGCAACCGCAAGCCCAGCGCAAGGACAGCTGATATTATTGTACCCCCAAACAGGACCGTCGCTTACCTGGAAGAAGAGCACGAAGAATGCGAGGAAATCCGCCAGGGCTTCCACAGACCAGAGTGAGCAAGACGTGGCCGCTCACTGCCCTGATGCGCACACTATAAGAATGCATGTTCGGCATGACACACGCAGATCTGTCGCTCACCTGGAAGAAGAGCACGAAGAATGCGAGGAAATCCGCCAGAGCTTCCGCTGACCAGAGAGACACGTGGCCACTGGTTGCATTCATGCGCACACTTTTGGACCGCATGCAGAGAGCAAGCTTTGCCTCCGGCAGGTGTGACTGTACGAACTGCGTGACATTAACGAATAGAAGCACGTCACAGTCGGTGTAAAACACCCGGGAGATGTTTCTTCTGACCATCATTTCGTGTAGGAAGAACCAGCGGATATGATACGCCTTGACCTGCCCTATCCCCTCTACAAGCTGCTCCTCTATATGCGCGGACTCCTCGTAGTCTTCGTATGCTTCTAGCTCGACGCCTAGTTCGGTCATTTCTTCCCGGCACGCGCGAGGACCAATGAGAATGACCCACGTGTTGTGCAACCGTGCCTGGCGGAGCGAGGCCTGCATGTACCTCCCCCGGTTGCAGCCTGCCTCCCCCCGCAAAAACTGCACCACTGGGATCAGGCCTGGGTGGGTGTTGCCTGGGTGGGGCGATTGGGTGGGGCCACGAGTTGCTGTGGCACTATCAACACTATCAGTGGCATTGCTACTGGTGGTGGCATCGTTGCTCTCAGCTGCTGCTGCTGCTGCTGCTGCTCCTGCTGCAGCCCCTGTCCCTTGTGCCGCCCCTGTCCCTTGTGCCGCTCCTGATGCCACCCCTTGTGGTGGTGCCATAGCAACACCGTCAGCGTCGGCAGCAGAAGTTGCAGCAGCAGCAGGGTTAGCAGGGTTAGCGGGGTTAGCGGGGATAGCGGGAGCAACAGGGCTAGCAGGGGCAAGCGGGTTATGAGGAGGAACAGTGGCATGAGGATTAGTGGGAGTAGCGAAACCAGGAGCCTGCATTGCAAAGGGAGTAGGAGGAGAAGGAAAAGAGGGAGACTGCATTGCAGGAAGTGGAACGCTGGTGCTGAGCAGAAGGATCGGCAGAGGAAGCTTCTTGTTCCTTTCCTGCTGCTGACGCAGCTGCTGCTGACGCATCTCCTCCTGCAGAAGATCCGATATGGCCGACACGTTGCCTGCTGATGTGGCGGCTGCTGACGTGGCGGCTGCTGACATGGAATGGAGGGCAGATAGGCCCCCATCGGCTGAGCGGCCTGGAAAGCGCTTTAAGAGGTCGATCAAAGTCACGTCCGCGAAAAGGAGGAACGCTATAGCGAGTACGACTGCCCTGTAGGGATGAGACAGGGAGGGGAGGTTGGGGGAGGTAGGGGGGAGGTAGGGGGGAGGTAGGGGGGAGGTAGGGGGGAGGTAGTGAGGAGGGGAGGGTGATAAGGGGCAGGTAGGGGGAACGAGGGAAAAGAGGATTGGGTGGGCCCATGCCGTGCCATGCCATGCCCCGTTCCATGACTAATGCACAAGAAGCTCAGCAGCAGCCACACCATACCAAACCACACCGCACCGCACCGCACCACCCACACCGCACCACGCCGCACTCCGCAACACAAGCACAACGCGGGCAGCACGAGGAGGACGAATGCGAACCCACTCCGTGCCGCCATCCACGAACAGAGTTTAGCTGCAGTCATACCACACCACACCACCCACACCACGCCACACCACACCGCACCGCACCATATCATGCCATTACGCGCCCCGCTACTCACGTACAACGTGGCCAGCACGAGGAGGACGGATGCGGGCCCACTCCGCGCCGCCATCCGATGGCTTGATGCGACTTCGAGCCTTCAAAATCTACAGAAATTATATTTGCCTTGCCCTTTTACGCAAAACCGCCATCCAGACAGCTTGATGCACCTTCAAGTCCGTACCACAACAGACCGCACTACACCGGACGGCGAAAGTGCGACGTGGAAGGGGAGGGGTGATAATCCCGTCTAGGTCAGCGTCGCGCAGCGCGGGGTGGTCTCTACAACAGTAACAGTTTCAGTTCGGTCTGGCAGATGGTTTGCCAGTTTGGACAGCGATGTCAGGTTCCACAGTCGTCGCACATTTACCGTCCTAGTACGGTTCCATACGGTGAAAAGCGGTTTTTTTGTAAATACCGCTTCGCACCGTGACGAAACGAAGCTGACCGCAGGGAGCGTACGGATGGAAGTTGTGCAACCTTCCGTCGCCCTCAGATCGGGTTGCCTGTTTGGGCAGTGTACGGACGAAATTTACCAGACTCGATTGAGGAGCCGCCGGAAAAATTACAATCAAGAAACAAATGGCATAACCATTTGTGCCATTCTTATACCTAGTAGGGAAGCTTACGCTATACGGTGTGCTTCCCTTTCATTCACTAGATAAAAAAAAAAAAAAAACAGCAATATCGTATCAATCCTTGCTAGAGCCCCATGTAACACATGGATCCTCGTCCTTTAGTTGAGCTTTCTTCCTGCCCTGAAAGTGCACTGCCAATAATTGTACAGCCTCACCCTTGTTTTGCCCCCTGCCCACAAAAGGCTTGAAATATTCGTAGCGCACTGAGGTTGGTGTTTTCATGCCTTCTCTTGGGCAGAAGTGAAACTTCCTCTTCTTGCCCTGGGATCAGAACACAACGAAAAATTGGGCAGACAGTATGGCAATCAAGTGTTGTACTTAATAATGCCATACAATACAATGCCAGACAACGCCGTAATATGCTGTACCACTTTGCAGTACACTCACAACGGAAAAGTTGTTATCGAAGGCACACCACCCGGCATCGCTCCAAGCACTCGCCTCGCACTGCCTGGGCGCACACAGCGACTCCGCCTTGAAGGCCGGCCTGAACCTGCCGTGCAGGCGTGGGTACTGGGTGGATCTCTCCTTGTCCTTGCACTGCCGAGTGTGGGGTTGGGGCAGGAGGGAGGCAGGGGGGGGGGAGGGAGGGGGAGGGGGAAAATTTGCTCCAAGCACTCGCCTCATACTGCCTGGGCGCACACACCAACTCGACTTTTGAGTCGACTCAAAAGACTAAGCCTTGAAGGCCGGCTTGAACTTGCCATGCAGCCGCGGGTACTGGGCAGATCCCTCCTTGTCCTTGCACTGCCGAGGGTGTTCATGGAGGGAGGTGGGGGGAGAGGCAAGTGAAGGGCAGAAGAACCTAGTCGACTCAAAACAAACTGGAACTTGCCGTGCAGACGCGGTTGCTGCGTGGATCTCGCCTTGTCCTCGAGCAGTGAGGTGCACACGCCACAAAATGAGGAGCAGTGAGGTCCTCAAAATGCACCTCACCAGACGCGGGTGCTGCGTGGATCTCGCCTTGTCCTCGAGCAGTGAGGTGCACACGCCACAAAATGAGGAGCAGTGAGGTCCTCAAAATGCACCTCACCAGACGCGGGTGCTGCGTGGATCTCGCCTTGTCCTCGAGCAGTGAGGTGCACACGCCACAAAATGAGGAGCAGTGAGGTCCTCAAAATGCACCTCACCAGACGCGGCTGCTGCGTGGATCTCGCCTTGTCCTCGAGCAGTGAGGTGCACACGCCACAAAATGAGGAGCAGTGAGGTCCTCAAAATGCACCTCACCAGACGCGGGTGCTGCGTGGATCTTGCCTTGTCCTCGAGCAGTGAGGTGCACACGCCACAAAATGAGGAGCAGTGAGGTCCTCAAAATGCACCTCACCAGACGCGGTTGCTGCGTGGATCTCACCTTGTCCTCGAGCAGTGAGGTGCACACGCCACAAAATGAGGAGCAGTGAGGTCCTCAAAATGCACCTCACCAGACGCGGTTGCTGCGTGGATCTCGCCTTGTCCTCGAGCAGTGAGGTGCACACGCCACAAAATGAGGAGCAGTGAGGTCCTCAAAATGCACCTCACTAGACGCGGTTGCTGCGTGGATCTCGCCTTGTCCTCGAGCAGTGAGGTGCACACGCCACAAAATGAGGAGCAGTGAGGTCCTCAAAATGCACCTCACCAGACGCGGGTGCTGCGTGGATCTCGCCTTGTCCTCGAGCAGTGAGGTGCACACGCCACAAAATGAGGAGCAGTGAGGTCCTCAAAATGCACCTCACCAGACGCGGGTGCTGCGTGGATCTCGCCTTGTCCTCGAGCAGTGATGTGCACACGCCACAAAATGAGGAGCAGTGAGGTCCTCAAAATGCACCTCACCAGACGCGGGTGCTGCGTGGATCTCGCCTTGTCCTCGAGCAGTGAGGTGCACACGCCACAAAATGAGGAGCAGTGAGGTCCTCAAAATGCACCTCACCAGACGCGGGTGCTGCGTGGATCTCGCCTTGTCCTCGAGCAGTGAGGTGCACACGCCACAAAATGAGGAGCAGTGAGGTCCTCAAAATGCACCTCACCAGACGCGGGTGCTGCGTGGATCTCGCCTTGTCCTCGAGCAGTGAGGTGCACACGCCACAAAATGAGGAGCAGTGAGGTCCTCAAAATGCACCTCACCAGACGCGGTTGCTGCGTGGATCTCGCCTTGTCCTCGAGCAGTGAGGTGCACACGCCACAAAATGAGGAGCAGTGAGGTCCTCAAAATGCACCTCACCAGACGCGGGTGCTGCGTGGATCTTGCCTTGTCCTCGAGCAGTGAGGTGCACACGCCACAAAATGAGGAGCAGTGAGGTCCTCAAAATGCACCTCACCAGACGCGGTTGCTGCGTGGATCTTACCTTGTCCTCGAGCAGTGAGGTGCACACGCCACAAAATGAGGAGCAGTGAGGTCCTCAAAATGCACCTCACCAGACGCGGTTGCTGCGTGGATCTCGCCTTGTCCTCGAGCAGTGAGGTGCACACGCCACAAAATGAGGAGCAGTGAGGTCCTCAAAATGCACCTCACCAGACGCGGGTGCTGCGTGGATCTCGCCTTGTCCTCGAGCAGTGAGGTGCACACGCCACAAAATGAGGAGCAGTGAGGTCCTCAAAATGCACCTCACCAGACGCGGGTGCTGCGTGGATCTCGCCTTGTCCTCGAGCAGTGAGGTGCACACGCCACAAAATGAGGAGCAGTGAGGTCCTCAAAATGCACCTCACTAGACGCGGTTGCTGCGTGGATCTCGCCTTGTCCTCGAGCAGTGAGGTGCACACGCCACAAAATGAGGAGCAGTGAGGTCCTCAAAATGCACCTCACCAGACGCGGGTGCTGCGTGGATCTCGCCTTGTCCTCGAGCAGTGAGGTGCACACGCCACAAAATGAGGAGCAGTGAGGTCCTCAAAATGCACCTCACCAGACGCGGTTGCTGCGTGGATCTCGCCTTGTCCTCGAGCAGTGAGGTGCACACGCCACAAAATGAGGAGCAGTGAGGTCCTCAAAATGCACCTCACCAGACGCGGGTGCTGCGTGGATCTTGCCTTGTCCTCGAGCAGTGAGGTGCACACGCCACAAAATGAGGAGCAGTGAGGTCCTCAAAATGCACCTCACCAGACGCGGTTGCTGCGTGGATCTCGCCTTGTCCTCGAGCAGTGAGGTGCACACGCCACAAAATGAGGAGCAGTGAGGTCCTCAAAATGCACCTCACCAGACGCGGGTGCTGCGTGGATCTCGCCTTGTCCTCGAGCAG